GTCGAAAAAAAATGTACAATACTAGATTTTTAGAAATTAATGAACGGGTGATGTTTGAGCAAGTTTTAAAAAAAATGTTCTTAGCCGTTTCTGTAGTAAGCGATTCAATTATATTTTTACAACAATAGACGATTAATATAAAAAAAAATTAAAATATGTTGTTGTATTCGTATCACTCGTACATTCCTGATCAAATCACCTACACTTGAATATCGAGTAACAGATATTGGGCAAGCGGATTAACGGAGCGATATGTCTTCAGTTCGGTGCAAATAAAAAATTAAAAAACAAAACAAAAAGTGCTTAGGTACACCGCTATTATTTGAACCGAATCGATCCGTATTTGATTACCTGATTCGAGATTTAACAGTACAAAACTGAAAACCGGTAACGTATGAAATTACATTCTACTCGCAAGTAATTCTGTTGATACCTTATGTGCATGTATTATTATTTATAGAGAGTTATTAAATGTATTAAAATAAATTATATAATGTATAATATGTACCTGTGAAGATTTTAAAAACCATGTATTACATTCTTTTACCAAACCCTTTTTACATTCTTAAACTAGACGGAGAAATAACCGTTATGTTGATTTAATAGAAAATTTACTTTTGAAAAATGGAAATCGTTGATTTATTTTTTTCTGATTTTGGCTATTGTCAAAGGTGACAAAATAATCGACCTAACTGATCTTGTCCAAATTTAGTAACTTTATGATTAATTTGTTTTTGCCCGGTAAAATGTTGTCATCTTAAATGATCTTGGGTGTTTATTTCTCGGCATTTTAACTAGCGGCATTTTTAAAACCACCAACAGTTGATTCAAAGGTCATTTGCACTCGGCTCCTATCGAGTTTACAATATTAAGAAACAACAACCTGCTGCGTTTGACCTTTTTTTAAAATACAGTATAGGGAACAGTATACCTCAAGGGAAAAACTCTTCTGTGATGATGTTCAATCTTCGGAATCGACCATTTACTTAAGGACACAATTCAGATGACAGCAACTTTTTTTTTCTATGGTAATTTGTTTTGTGCTGTTTAGTTTGAACAAATAATTATTATTATTCTGCACAATGGACGTACTCACACGAGAACAGCGTGTCCTTTCGGTTTTCTCGACTGCTAAAGGGGCCTGGCAATAAAATATTTATTACAATGTTCACACTTCACATTCCAAGATTGCACGGGCTATAATATTTATAGAGTATATAGATTAAGTATATATTTTGTCGAAACGCATGCTTACAATCTTAATGACCGAATTATGCATAATTTAGGAATTTCATTGCGTAACGTTGGCGTGATTCCGTTTGAGTGGTGTACACGGAAAGCTTCGTAAAATTCCTCTACCGTAGCACACAATAGTGCGATTGTATCCAAGTTTATGGTTAACAGCTCTACTGATTCCTGTAGATTTTTTTCACTGTCAATCCTATGTTAACAGTTTTTATTAATAATACTGTCCTGGAATAATACATCCTGGAATACTATTCCAGGATGCCAAAAATGGTTATTGAAAAAAAAAGTATAAAATGACAAATCAATAATTGATGGAAATCCAAAAATAAGGATTCTGCAAATGTTTATCGTTAATAGATAAATTATAAACTGTAAAAATTGTTTGAAACCATTTGTTTTTTTTAACGAAACTGAAAAATAAAACGAGCATTGTGGGGTTCTAAAAAGCCCAGATTTCCCAAAAATTAAATATCTTAGTTCAGTTAGAAAATTAAATGTAATTAAAAAAAACTTGATAAGAAAAATTTAAGGTCAATTAGATTTGTAAAAAACCAAAGTAACAATTTCTATTTTACTGATGTTTTAGTTGTTTTTTTTTTGTTTAAATTTTAAAATAAAATTCTATATTTAGTTTTTGTTAGCAGTTAAGGTTTCTTTTAAACCGTTACCTAAGATAGCCGTAACCCTACTTCGAAAGTAATGAATTGATCAATGTGAAATTTGTATGAAACCAGTGCTGGAAAACGTTTTCACACTATTTGTTATAACCACAACAAACGACAATTACAATTATTGACAGTATGATACATAGCTTAACTGATTTTGAATTTTAAAAAAAAGTTAATCAAAAATATTTTAAAGCTATGTCTTTTGGAACTATACAAACAATTCGTTCCAGGAGCTTTACATCGTTACAAAAGGCATAACATAACTTTAAAATGTTTTTGATTAAATTTTTTTTAAGTTCAAAATCAGTTAAGCGCTAACTGACTATCATACTGTCAATAATTTTAAGCAACGTTTGTTTAGTTATTACAAATAGTGTGAATTTTGGCTTGAAACTTTTTTCTTGACGTAAATTAGCTTTGAAACCAGTATCTATCTGGATAACTAGAAAATCGTAACATTCTAAAAGCATATGGACTTAATAATCACGGTCGTAGAACATTCTTGCAAGCATAGCGTACCTATGACGTATTGTGTGATGCATAGGTATGCTTGTGTATACTTATTTTAGCTGCTATTTGTCTAGACGTGAATAGATTTTTAAGCACCGGTGCATGACAATTTGCATAATTATATTTTTTAATATTTTCGCTCTTACCGTTGGCAGGTTTACAGTGACACAATATTATTCAAAATAATAGTAATAATATACATATATAGCACACAAAATAATATACCTACGATATGTACTAATGTTGTTTAAACGTTTAACTGTACGCCTGTGTGAAGTGAAATGCCTACTGATGATTTCATGGTTCACAATAAACGTCACCAGACCCAAGGACTTTAAAAGTGCGTTTTCAAAATATTCCAATTGACAGTACGGATATTTACTGTGTTCCTGACTCGCTAGCCGGCCAAACAAATGTGAGAACAGAATAAAATTTCAAATTTATTATATAATTTGTCATCGCGATTGTTGGCCGACAAATGTTTGTTTTGTTTCACATTTTTTTTGCAAAGACACTCGTTGAGTGTTAATATTATGCGACTAGCCTTTATTTGTAGCATATCTGCACATATACTGTAGTTATATGTCCCAAAGCTCATAGGATTGAATGTTGAAGAATGCAAGTGGAGAGGAGGCGACGCGACATGAGTTTTGTGTGATAAAAAAATACCAGTTAAGCTTAGTGCGCTAAAGGGAAGTGGGCAGTGGATAAAAAAAAACTGGAGGAAGTGTAGGTATGGCGTTCATTGTGGAGACTAAGAGGATTAATAGTGTCGATGGGCAATGAAAATGAATATAGAAGGAGAGATATAAAGAAAAAAGTAAAAAAATACATGGTTAACTTACAAGGATAGCAAATGTGTGTGTGTGTAGAAGATAGGACAGATTTCCTTTAATCAGGGATTAAATGAAAGGAAATTCTCAAATGACACAGTTATCAAAATTAATTTTAAATATCTGCTAATGAAAAAAAAGTTTGATAAATTTAAATTATTTTAAGTTTAGTGGGATGAATATATATATATATATATATATATATACGTCAATAAACTCATAAAACATTTAGTATTATTTTAAGTGCATGCTAAAAAATATTAAGTTCTATAACTATTACTTGCAACAATGCGGTATTATATCTTGTACGACATGCGATAATATATGTGTGTTTATAGATTTTTTTACTGTACTTTTGAACCGCAGTGTTATTGAGTTTTTTATGGTGAACATTTTAAAACCGTCATTGTCGAATACGCGTTGGTGTATGATTGCTAAACTCGAAAATATTATAAATCCGATTTTTTTATTTTCTAATCAGAATATTCATTAACAAATTTCCAGAAATTACTCGCAATGATTTATTTTTAATAAATATATATATTTCGTTAATACAGTTTTAAACTTTTTTCTATGAACAAGAGATGTTGTTTAAGTTTGTTGGTCATGTTATACAGTAAGAAACGTGATAGTTGCTCAAAATGTAAAATGTCGAATACTGAAATAGTTAATAGTTTTATCGTGTTTGTCATATTCTTTAAAATGTCACGATGTAATGAATCGTCTGAACTATTAAAATCTTGTTCTTAAGTTTTTTAAGAGAAAATTTAATCTGGTCCAGTGTTGACCAACAACATCTTCTATGTGTTCGCAATGGTATGTTGCTTATTTTCTTGGAAAAATGTAATTTCGATCAAGCTTTTTAAAAAAGTTGTTATAACTATTATAATTTATCACTGACCAAATTCAGGAGGATTATGAGTGTCAAAATCATGGATTTTTATCATTAAAATTAATCAGTAGTATTACAATTCTGGATTAACTCGATAGAATTAAATAATAACACTTTTTTATTAACCTAAAATAGCATACATACATTTTAAGCGTAGAATAGTAGCAGCGCTCAACATTTTTTTAAAGAGAACAATACATGTTGGTCCTTTTTTGTTGTGACTAACTTATACATAGATATAAATTAAATATCAAATTTTTTTTCGAGGAGTTGGGAATGATATAATAGGCTATATCTTACCTCGGACCTAACCTACGCTTATTTTTTTCATATTAACATAAAACTTAACGAATTTTGGTAACTTGCCCAGCTTTGCCCAATGGTTGTATAATGTAAAATGTGTTATATTATACCGCAAGCATTTCGGAAAGTTGTAGTTTTTCGTGTCATAATATTATATTGTCATCAACGAATCACCTGCGCTATAATCTATATCATAATATCATACTATTTAATATATATTTTGTATTAATTGTGCTATATTAGAGCATATAAATGATGGAAAACAATAAACGTGTTAAGGTACACGTTTTATGGTGGTCGTAAATAAACTTGATGAAAATATACGTGCACATTTGAGTCCCCTACTATTTAGGTGCAGCGACGACCGAAATCGACTATCGTTTTCAGCTTGGCGTTGTTGTAAGTGAGAGATCTCGCATAGATCTCGGCGCGCGCCAGCCGACGGTGCTCAGACGCCGCGCGTACTCGCTTCGACATAGGTACTAAAAATGTATTAATTTTTTTTTTTTTTTTGTATAATTTTTTTACTACTTGTACTAATAATACGGTTGCAGTATATACGAGTACCCCATATTACAAATTTACACGTTTAATCGCCATCAATGCGTTTGTTACAATAGTAGTGTGCAGTGCAACGTTGGGTTCGGTGGTGTAGTGACACACAAGCCTCGCGCGCTCATCGCCAATATTATACTGTTACAAGTTGTCGTTGAGCTTATCCGTCGCTACAACGTAAGTATTCTCCTAGTACAATAACAAAACAAATATACATATTAATAATTATCAACAGTCTTATATTTCTATTTGCTGTTATTAAATATACGATAACGATGCGACACGGCGCACACAGGACGTGTATGGCTTTTTAGTTTTTATACAACTATACCGGGAGAAAATTTCAAAATTCATCATTATCATAATGTAAAATTTGAAATCCGACTTCAGCATACAGTTTGTAGACGAGCTATTAGGCGTAGAAGTGTCACTATCTTACGCGATATTAATTTTTATAGGCATTTGAAATTCAAAAGTATTATACAATAAACTTATTAAATCAAGACCAACCTATTTATATTTTTTTTCAGTATTTACTGATTGATAGTATGGTTGCAAGTAAAATATATTTTTGGAAATATCAACGTTTAAAAAGTTGAATGAAATATTAGTAATTAACTTAGTCTACTCTACTGTATTTCCCCTTCTTCTTAAAATTTAAAACGTTAATAAATCAAAAAGTCTTCATTCATGACAGCTTATCGAACAGTCAAGGTTTCGGGTACATATTTTTGATTTAAAAAGTTTAAAAAAATATGTTTTTTTCAATAGTCGAAAAAGGTTTAAAAAGTAATTCCAAGTAATATAATCTAAAATACTTATTAAAAAATAAGTGGCTTTCTTCAAAGGGATTTTTGTAGGGTTTTAAACAGCAGTAATTCAAACGACCCAATACACATTTGGCATTTATAAGTGATTAAGTTCAAATTTGGCTATATCTCTTTTAGTGAAAACAAGTGCGCGCAAGTTTATCGCTAATTTATGGCATTAATAATGTGATAATCGTGCTCAAGTTTTACTTTGGGCTTCTAAACTAATAAAACCGTCACGTCGAAAAAATATAGGTTTTAATCTGAAATAATTAATACCTGTATTAATAAATATCGGCATTGACGCCATCTATATTATACTTTTTATCCTCGGCGGAACAGAACCTTGTATAATATTATGTTTTTATTTTTCATAAGACAATACGCCATAATTATGTATGTTTATAATATAATACATAATACAAGCCACTGTCGAGTAAATATTTATGGTGTACTAGTTGTTTTTTTCACCAACACATTGACTGCGGTGAAATTAACATGAAGTAATGGAGAGGTTATTAATCAATCGCCAAGTATTTACTTGGTTAGATAGGTCAAGTAAACGTTCTAATAAATTCATGATAATTAGAGTTAGATAGATTTGGCAAATAAAATAATAAAAATAAAAATAATAAGGTTAGGTTAGGTAAGTTATGTTGGGTTAGGTTAATTGGGTTCCGTTGGTTGCTGTTTTGTTTTTGATCATCGATCCTACATAAGTTATTATTTGTAACGGTGCAAGTAAATATTGTAAATAGTATACATTAATAACTCATGAGAGCCTACCATATCGACCTACGGGTTAGTGAGTGGTGACAATGACTGTTTATTGTGGTCTTGAGCGGTAGAACGCAGGTGGTAAAATATTACCATGAGATCAAATTCGATTAAAAGCATTTTATGCGAAATACCTTTAGAGCGATAGGTAGGTTGTGTACAATTTTATTACCGAACCGTCTTGGTTGTCGTCAGCAATACAATTGTTTTTTTTTTTAAACAGTAAAACCATTACAATTTGTTTTTGCGTTTCTGTATATTTATATAATAACAACTATAGGTACGGAGTCAGCGCAATAGCACTCATTGATTGTCTTGGTAGTTTCATTTATATAATATTAGAACAATTATTTATCTTGTGTCGAGATTGTACCGTTCGCTGTCGATTAAATAAAATTGATCGACAATATATTTTTAACATCAAATAATAATAATTATCAATAGAGATACAAGAACGCTATTGAATACCATCGTCAATGGATTATACTCACACTGAATGAAGATATACAAGGTGTCTTACGAACACACATTTATACGCAAAAACTGGGTATTAAAACAAGAAACGGTACAACAACGAAAAAATTTAAAAATTAAATTTTATTACAAAAACGATTTAATTATTATTTTAAATACTTGTTAAAAATTACATTCTAAATGAGAAAAAAAAATGTATACAGTTTTTTCATATAAACTGAAAATATTGTTGAACTTATTGTTTATATATGTCAATTTAATTAAAAATTGCCCCTTTTTCAAACTTTATGGACCAGAACAAATTTGTCACATTCTTGAAATCTTTTGACCATTGAACCGTATTAATGATACGTGCCAATGGTGATTTTCCAAGACGTTGAAAAAACTTGATTTATAAAGCATAAATTGCTATTAGTTTTGTGGATTGTGTTTTAAAGTAAGTCTGGTATTGAGGAAATATTTTTGAAATTTTAGAACGAGTTTGAAAATGTGCTCACGGGTCTTAAAGACATTTGTTTTATAGTACTATGAGGGCAATCCAGACTGGCGATTTAATTCGGAAGGTAATGAACATTTGAAAATTAAATAAATAATATAAAATATAAATTTTATTTAACTAAGAATACAAATTTAGACTCGTCGATAGCCAGTTTACAATTACTTTCTGTGATATTAACGTTTAGGAGTTAATCGGGAAACCCTTCTTACAGTCTATACTCTAAAAGTAATTATTCCAGCAAATAATACTTAATTAAAAAAGTTAATCCCTTCTGGAATGACGTAAACACGTTACCATATAATTTTTAAAAGTTAATGTCGGTCTGGAAAAACCACAAAAGATAAATTATTTGAATTTTATAATACTGCAAAATAACAAAAACAAAAATATTTTCAAAATGAGATACCACGTATTAATTATTTACTGATATTTCGATAAAAAAAAAGCGGTCAAAATTTTTCAAACCTACAACTTAACCATTTTTAGCTTTACACACCAGACTTCCCCTTAAATAATTATGTAATGTTTCTCGTCAGTCGTCTGCACCCCGTGAGCCACCCTGTATACCCTGTATTTAACGTTATTGTATAATGCGGGTAATACTTATAAGAGAGTCTCTATTGATATTATTCGACTGGTGGTTTTCGCACTCGTTTAATTGCCCGCATGCATGCGTGTAAATATAGTTAATTTTTAAAAACATTTTAATTGTACACACATGGATATAGTTTTAGGCATCATCTATTGGCGTATCGACGGTAATGTAAACAAAGTAGCGCAGGCCAAGTGACGATTTCATCTTAAGACAAATAATAATAATAATAGTTCACTAATTTGAAACCAGAGTGTAAAATAACAAAAAAAAAACCCCCATTCATCAAGTGCATAATGTTATCATCACTATGTCGCAACGCCGTTTATAATATTTTGTGCAATCCGACGCGAACCTTGAAACAAAACTGTGGTTGTGTGTAGGTTAAACGCATTATTTGTGCTGATATTAATGGTACTCGTCCGATGACATAGACGAGCCATGAGAAAAAAAAGATATATAATATATTTACGATTACGCCCGAGCACGTGACCGAGTAAACCACCTACGTTTGGGCGTTTGTCCAAATTAAACTGTTTTATATTGGTCGGTAGGTAGTATAAAATGCAGTCAAACAAACCATTATAAATATTATAATAGTCGAGTAGCAATATCTAAAAATGTTCAGAAATTACTTTGAAGCTCTTTAAAATAAAATGTTTTTTCCATGAAAACATACAACCTAAGATACTAAATTTAATTTTAAAAAGATGATTTATATTTTTAAAATATATGAATAAATAAGTATGAATAAAAACACAATTTTAATTCGCATGGATAATTCACTTGGATGTTTTCTAAATGATTTTATTAGGATTATGGTGGAAATGTTATGAGGACTATAATTGTTTGAGGTTTTCAAAACAATAAACTTAGAATGAAATAGCATTTATTCTGAGACTAGTTCAGAGTTCGTGGACATTTCTTTTTAAAAATTCTGATTTCCAATAAAATGTATCGATTATTATTAAAGACTAAATGCAACATAGAATAATTTTAAATAGCACAAAACTGTGTATTCACAACTTTAAAAATGATCTATAAAATATTCTAGACGAGTTACATAAAAATCTAAGTTGAAATTTTAATTTAACTTGAAAAATTCCATACAGTCAATGTGTTTTCCGATTATAAACAATTAAGCACATATTTATTGTATAATTAAACAGTTATTCTAATAAAATTGGCTATGAATGAACCTATTAAAAAGTAGGTTAAGCAGACAATATAAGGTAAGGATAGTAAAAAGAAAATACATAACATACTACTTTGAGTGTTAATGTCATAATACCATTATTATATAACATACATAATGATTTGCAAGTATTTGCTAGTTTACTGTTATAACTAATAGTATTTGTTTTTATAATTTTACAATTTTTTGAGCACACTTAAAATTTGTTTACTTAAAGCATGGTTATTTTATGTTGGCGAGGAATTTTGTTTAATATATAGATTTAGATAGTATTTAATATCTAAATAGAGAGCAGAGTACTAATCATTGAACTAAAATTAGTAAAAACTGATTTCTTGTAGATACTTCTGAATGGGAAAAATCCCGCTTTCAAATTAAGATTTTTGGATTTAAATTATTCTTTGTTTAAAAAAATTTTGAAATTTTAATATTAAATATAAAAATATAATTATGAAAAATTGTTAAGAAAATTTTATAGTTTTACGGTTTTCCCAACCAGGGCGCAAACAACATTATTTTGTAAAATTAAAAAAAAAACCAGTTTGCCGTCATAATTAAGTTTACAGTTTATTCACATTATAACAACAATGGCCAATGTTGTTTGAAATTTAAATATTAATATCTAATAATATATATATTTTTTAAATATTTAATGTAAAATACACATACGACGCAATGTGCTTGTTTTGATAAGACAACCGCGAGTGTACCTATATATACAAGCCAGATAATATTAGATATGCGCGACCGTATAAAGACATGCGCTTTACGGTTAAGCCGTATCGTGACTAAACTTGACATTAATAACCCGTTTTGCGTTGGATGATTATA